GCATAATTTAAGATTTAAATTTCAGAAATAAAATTATTTCCCAAATATCAAAAATCACCTTGGTTGAAATTATGAACCTGGATACTAATAGCAAACTGTGCATCTTTCCAGAGAAGAGAGGCCAGAAAGATGAAGGCTCTGCCTCCCATTCTACCTTTAAATACTCTAGGAACCACAAGTAAGCCCATCAAATTTTCTAGATTTAACTGGGAGTCAATGAAGAAAAGCCAATATGAGAGAAATATGCTCTCTTTCTCTCTAGCTCCTGTCAGTGCAGCATTGTGGATCAGAATGTTCTCCAAACATAACCAAAGAGCCCTAATTTTGTCTTATCTGACCTTAGGATGTGGTTTCAGTATGGATAGTCTTTTTCCAGGTTGTGCTTAACATACTGCAGTCTGGCTTGAAGATGTCCAGTCCAATTCAGCAGAAGTGCAGGTTTTCTTGGTCTGCCACTAATTATTTGGGTTTCACCAATGACTGTATAGGCGTTGGCTGAATAGCAGTGGTGCCGGTCAGAATTAACAGGAGTTCAAATTAGGTTCTTCCTTCTTTACTGTCATTCGTTAACACTACAGCACAGTAATGCAACCACAGGCTTACAGATGGGGCGTACAAGGACTCGTAGGTGCGGGAGTGGATGTCTGTGGTCTATAAACAAAACATATACAAAAGTGCTGAGTATAATAAACAATCAAATCATGAATTGTGCATCATTCACTGTCTTCCAGTATAACCAGATAAACCAATAAACATTGCACTTCTACATAAGCTGATTCCCTAAATGACATAAAAGGCCCAAGACTGTCCTTTCCAGACAGGTCATGTCATTTGTCTTTTCAGTAGTGATGTGCGATATCACTGATCTCCTTTCCGATCCGATACCAAGTAAAATTCAGGGTGGTATCGACGATACTGATCCGATACCGATCCAATACCGATACTCTGTACAAAAACTTTTTTTATTTATTGTATCTTTTATTGTATCTCAAATTATAGCGTCATAATGATTACAGGACATCAGATTACTTGTTCTTATCACTTAATAATGCAGAATTCATCACATAGAAATAAAAAAAATTTAAGTTGTGTGCTATTTGAAAACCTTGCCTGCCTGCAGCACTAAAGGATTCCGTGAGAGGCGTCTGTCTCGCCCTAGCAGCACCTGTCCCTCTCCTCCTCTTCAGTTCACCTCAACATACGCTCATCATATTCTGTGATATGATTTACTCTGAGGTGTTTGACAAGGTTAGTGGCGTTGTACAACACCTCATTTTCTTGCCACATGTATTGCAAACCACGTCTCGGCTGTTTGTGGATGTAAAATACGTCCACACATGACTCCGTTTACACTCAGCCATTGTTGTGAGTGCACACGCCAGGGGGTGGAGACATTTATATAGCCGTATTTCGCACATGACTATGAAAGGCGTAAGAGGAAGTAGTTCCTTCCAATGTAGACAATCCGAATGATATAGCTTCTTTCCACTGTGTTCCTGTTAATGATAAACTACAAATTTACTCTAAATTACTAAAATATCGATATTTTAATGTGAGAATCGATTCTAGAATATAAATGACTGGTATCGGAGGAATCGATATTTCAGTATCAATCCGCACATCACTACTTTGAAATCTTTCATTCTTACTATTAGATACTATTATTAAATACTATTAGAACTTTGTATATCGATATCTTGGAGAGTGTCAACAATTCTTTCAATCAAGTCTAAGCTGTTTCTTTTGTCTTTGGTATGCTTCCGCAAGTGACATCTCGAAGCCTTGCTGTGGTTCTTACATTGCGTGCAAATTAGAAGAGGATCCTCAATTTTAACTGGATTTTCTAAGCTGCGAGACTTACAACGTTAATGCTCAAAAATCGTTTTTCAGGGGGTTAATAATATTGAGCCTAGTAGTTTTTTTTGGGTTTTTTTTCTGATATCAGTCTGAAATTGTGTACAAACATAAATCATTCCTACTTTCTAACAAGAAGTAGTATGTTGAGAAATGTTATTTTGAAAATCTCACTTAACCCTTTTACGCATAGTGGTCACTATAGTGGACAACTATTCAAAGGCTGTTTTTTTTGTATGTGTGTTAGTGTTAATGGTATAGTTGCACCTAAACCACTACATTGGACACTTATGTGTCAGTCCATACCCTGCCACTCACTGGTCAGCCAGTGGGTGGCAGTCAAGACATCACAGAGCCTCTACATATATTTGTTACATTTGTTATATTGTTATAAAATATATTTAAAATATATAAAAACATATTTTGTTATGTTATAGTTTTTATACAGTGTATATTATTTATTTGTTTGTGAAAGTCATAAGTCAAAACCCATGTTGTCCACCTAAGGGGACATGTAAAAAACTGAAAAGTTCAAAAATCTTTTTTTCATGCCTAAAGATGAATAAAAATACTTTTAAAAAATCCTGATTGAGGTTGTCATATTTCATGCATGAAATGGTCAAAAAAGCAATTGGGAAAGTTAGGGGAGTTTTTGATAAAGACTTTGATAGGTGGGGAATAATTTTGCCTTCATCTGTATGTGAGTCGTCCTGTTAGAGAATTCAGGATGTTCCAGCTTTTCTCTTCTTTCAGTATTTTCTGAAGAAAGGCATTGTTCGGATATTAACAAAACATCTTTGGTCCGAGCATCACTTACATAAAATGGTGCATAGCTCTTAATGACATTCATGGAGCTATATTTTTTTGTGATTTTGGAAGCCATACTGATGAATCTTCTCTCATGAGCTTCTCATTCTACAAATGCTCTCTGTGCCAAGTATTGCAGCCTGGTGCTATGCCTTAAGTTCGTTCAGCACCTTCCTCCTCAGGTGAAGTACCCAGAATCATCTCACCTGATGTTTGCCTTTTCTGCTCACACTTTGCCCATCTGGTCCTACAGATTCCCACTAAGTAGTTACACTACTGCACTTCTGTGGCAGTTTGAACTGATTTCCCGATCTTCACAACACTTTCTTTTCATGAACTTATAATGCATATCCTAGGTGGTTGAAGACTGGTTGGCCTGTTTTAGGGAGATCCTGGCATTCAACATATAAGAATAGGTGGGGTTTTTTTTTGGGGGGGGGAGAACAATTTTCTTTTTTTTCTTCACTGTGTCAGTGGATGTATTGTTTTGGTTTTGGGCTGCTAGTCCATTGCCTAGCCTCTCTTATCTAGGGTTGGGATGTGAAATGTCAGAGTTACATCTTCTACATTAATATCAAATGCTCAAATTTATGGGATTTGTTCTTTGTTCAATCAGGAACTCCAGCTACATGCCAACAACATCTCAAATGTACAATGAAGAAGAGGTTCCAGTGCATGTTTGAGGGGATTGCTAAAGCAGGAAACTCAACTCTTCTGAATCAGATCTACACAGAGCTCTACATCACAGAGGGAGGGACTGCAGAGGTCAATGATCAGCATGAGGTCCGACAAATTGAAACAGCATCCCGGAAACTAGACAAACCAGAAAGAACAATCAGGCAAGAAGAAATTTTTAAAGCCTCACCCGAAAGAGATGAACCAATCAAAACAGTGCTGACAAAAGGAGTGGCTGGCATTGGGAAAACAATTTTAACACAGAAGTTCACTCTGGATTGAGCTGAAGACAAAACCAACCAAGACATCCATTTCATATTTCCATTCACCTTCAGAGAGCTGAATGTCATGAAGGAGGAAAAGTTCAGCTTGGTGGAACTTATTCATCACTTCTTTACTGAAACTAAAGATGCAGGAATCTGCAGCTTTGAAGACTTCAAGGTTCTGTTTATCTTTGATGGTCTGGATGAGTGTCGACTTCCTCTGGACTTTCAGAAAACTGAGGTCTTGACTGATATCACAAAGTCCACCTCAGTCGAAGTGCTGCTGACAAACCTCATCAAGAGAAAACTACTTCCATCTGCTCGCCTCTGGATAACCACACGACCTGCAGCAGCCAATCAGATCCCTCATCAGTATGTTGATATGGTGACAGAGGTCAGAGGGTTCACTGAACAACAGAAAGAGCAGTACTTCAAGAAGAGATTTCAAGATAAGAAGCTAGCTATCAAAATAATCTCCCACATCAAGACATCACGGAGCCTCTACATCATGTGCCACATCCCAATCTTCTGCTGGATCACTGCGACAGTTCTGGAGGATGTGCTGAAAACTAGACAGGGAGGACAGCTGCCCAGGAACCTGACTGAGATGTACATATATTTCCTGGTGGTTCAGGCCAAAGTGAAAAAAGTCAAGTACGATGGAGGAGCTGAAACAGATCCACACTGGAGTCCAGAGAGCAGGAAGATGGTAGAGTCTTTGGGAAAACTGGCTTTTAATCAGCTGCGGAAAGGAAACCTGATCTTCTATGAATCAGACCTGACAGAGTGTGGTATTGATATCAGAGTAGCCTCAGTGTACTCAGGAGTGTTCACACAGATCTTTAGAGAGGAGAGAGGACTGTACCAGGACAAGGTGTTCTGCTTTGTCCATCTGAGTGTTCAGGAGTTTTTGGCTGCTCTTCATGTTCATCTGACCTTCTTCTGCTCTGGAGTCAATCTCCTGGAAAAACAAACACCCTCCAAAAAGAATGAATCAAGAGAATTTGCAGAGACACATTTATTTCAGAGTGCTGTGGACAACACTTTAAAGAGTCCAAATGGACATCTGGACTTGTTCCTCCACTTCCTGCTGGGTCTTTCATGAAAAACTAACTAAGTTCTGCTACAAGGACTGCTGACAAAAACAGGAAGTAGCTCAGTGACTATTCAGAAAACAGTCGAGGATATCAAGAATAATATCAGTGACAATTTGTCTGCAGAGAAAAGCATCAACCTGTTCCACTGTTTGAACGAACTGAATGATCATTCTCTAGTGGAGGAGATCCAACAGTCCCTGAATTCAGGAAGTCTCTCTAGGGATGAACTGTCTCCAGCTCAGTGGTCAGCTCTGGTCTTCATCTTACTGTCATCAGAAAAAGATTTGAATGTGTTTGATCTGAAGAAGTACTCCCCCTCTGAGGAGGGTCTTCTCAGGCTACTTCCAGTGGTCAAGTCCTCCAAGAAAGCTTTGTAAGTACATAAATCTTAGTTGCTGGATTTTCTACAAACAGCAGGAGAACAAGTTAGTAGAATTAGTTAACGTGTGTCAGTAAGTGGATCGTTTTACTGATCAGTTGTCCTCTTTTTCTTAAAGAATGAGTGGCTGTAACCTCTCAGAGAAAAGCTGTGAAGGTTTGTCCTCAATTCTCAGCTCCCAATCCTCACATCTGAGAGAGTTGGACCTGAGTAACAATAACCTGAATGTTTGGGGGAGTGAAAAAGCTTTCTGCTGGGCTGGAGAGTCCACATTGTAAACTGGAAACTCTCTGGTGAGATGTTTATTATTTGAGCTACGATACCTAGAAGCAGCCTGATGACAACAACAAAGAAACATTTTCTCTCTTGCTATGCTTGCTAACTAGTCAAAAAAAAGTGCATTCAAGACCTCATTCTCCTGTAGGGTAAAGCAATTTGAGTCATGGAGGACATGTGCTTTATTCAGTCTTAAGCAACTGTTAGTAATGTCTTGAGTTTTCAGGCTCTTTAGTTTTAGAATTCTATTAGTATTTTATTAACACATTTTCAATGAAAGGAAAAGCTAATTGTCACAATTTAAATTAAGAGTTATCATCATTTTAGCCATAAGTATGCTGTTCTCTAATACCATTAAATTGTACACTGGCATTCCCACATGAACTGACATGTATCTCATTTTGCTTGTCTGCAGTCTGTCAGGCTGTCTGATCACAGAGGAAGGTTGTGCTTCTCTGGCCTTAGCTATTCATTCCAACCCATCATCCCATCTGCGACAGCTCGACCTGAGCTACAATCATACAGGAGACGGGGGGAAGCTGCTGCTATGCGGACTTGAGGATCCACTCAGGAGACTGGAGACTCTCAGGTATCTGGGTGATCTTGTTACTAACATTATAAACACATCACTTTATAATATAAAATGATAGGATGATCTGAATTTGTCTAAACGTATCACTTTAGCTTGGAACCGGTTGGTGTCGAGTGGTTGATACCAGGTCTGAGGAAGTGTAAGTATGTTTTTGTTTTGTAAAATCTCGAATGAGTTTTTCCCTCAAAGTAGTGACAATTTTCATCGATATCCAGATGCGATGCAGCTCAGCAGTGAGTAGAATTGAAATTAGTTTGTATTTAAACCAGAGCATGTGATATGATTAAGAAATTTCAATCAGTCAGGTGGTTTTTAATCACAAGATAAACAGTATAAATAAATAGTTTTTATTGGGTGGTGGTTCTTTATTCTTGGTATCTGGATTGGTGGACTACCGATACGCCAACAATGTGTTACTGGCTGTCAGGTTGTTGGCTGAAATTCAGTTGGCACCAGAATATGTGAATACTGGAACACCACAGTAGGTTCTACATTACAGACAGCATTAGGTTCACTAGAGGGAAGATATGACTACTGTTGCAAGATCAAGGTTATAAATTTGCACTCATATCCACTCTGCACAGATACAGTACATCCTCTCTTCCAACAGCTAGTTTAATGTTTAGTTTCATGTTGTGATTTTTAGTTCGTTTTGTGATGTTTATTTCTGTGAAGAGTTTTCCCAGCAATAAAGCTGCGCTTTAAGTTAACTTTCCTTTTCTGAGTCCTGCATTTGGGTACACATCCTGCCAGCCACACAGCACTCATCATGACATCATGGAGCTTTATTTCGAGTTAGTTGTAATTTAAATTCTTTTATTAAAGCACTGGACCAGATCACACTGCAATAGTTAGGCTGTGCCAGAACTTTCTTCTTGGCTCTTGACGGAGGTGGTCGCACTTTTCTCTCTCTGCCTCTCCCTCTCCCTTATCTTCCCTTGGCTTCTCATGTCTTTGTATAGTCTCGCTTATTCTCTAACCCTAAGAGAGTCTCCCAGACTTGTTCTTTTAAAAACCTAAAGAAGAATTATGGATTTGATCAACTGGTCCCTTAACAAAATTGACAAACTCCTGGGCTTGGTAGAACCCAATTGTCCTGCGGAGATGTTTGCTGCCAGGTACTCGATGGTCTGTTGCGTCGTGTTTCTGGTGATACTCTTGATGGAGAACATCAAACGACATCTACCAATTCGGAACCATGATAACAGAGTTCTGGCTGATTGGAGCTCGTTCGGACCTGGCTTATCGAAGAACAAGAAGCGCCTACAGCTGTTCAAAATCCCACAAGGCTGGCTGACATGATAGACGATGGGCAGGGCTGTGAGTACTCAGACTGTGTTTATTGAACGCAATATGGATAACATCTTGGAGAAGAAAAATGGGAATTGAGAGATATGTTGACCAGTGATGGACATTAGACCTACTGTAAAATTGGAAGCAGTTTGTTCGCACTACCATCTTCATCTCATGCGGCTCCCCTGGCGCCAGCTGGATGCTCAAGGCAAAAGCTGACAGGAATAACAAAAATTCTCCCTTAGATAACAAGACTGTGTTGTGACTCTTCCCCTTCCATCAAGGAAACCCGCGTCGACCGAAGACTGTTGACAGTTGCCTAACCGAGTGAAGGGACATTTTCTATCGGCTGAACACGGAACACACACACGCACACATACGCATGTACACTGACACAGACCTACACTTCGAAGCTTATGTCTTCTGTGTTGTGAGATGTGCTGAATTTTGTGCTATGTGCTGATTTATGTGCTATGTGCTGAGTAGAGATGGACCGATCCGATATTACGTATCGGTCCGATATTGACCTAAATTACTGGATCGGATATCGGAGAAAAATAAAAAATGTAATCCGATCCATTAAATATCACGAAAGCACCTCACAAAACTTGCAACACGCCGTAACTCACCTCAGAACGTTAGCACGTCGGAGCAGTATGCATCACGTGATAGAGCGGCTGTGGCATGCGGGACCTGTCGGTGGTCTGAATAGCATGTGGAGCTTCGCTAGCAACCCGGCATTTCATCTCCGATAAAGTTATCCCCGAGAGAAGTAAAGCAAGTGTGTAAGTCCATCTCTGAATGTTTGTAAAGCATTCCTGCGTTAAGCTTACCAAACGATATATGGAGCGACTGCCTCTTCTGGCTGCTACTTCAATCATGAAACTGCTTAATGATCAGCTGATCGGCTTTTCTGTCGCGAGTCCGTCTCTCTGGTTTGTTTTTGGCCCACTTTGCACCAGAAAGAGGAAACCAGCGGCTGGACAACAGAAGCACGTTTAAGCTTGATCAGCTGTTGTTAGAATTTATTTATTATTACTTTCTACTCGAGGATCTTTTTCTACGTAGCTGACGGCTGGTAACTGCAGGGGCGGATCTAGCAAAGTTTAGCCAGGGGGGCCGATAGGGCATTAACAGGGAAAAGGGGGCACAAAGACATACTTTTCTTTCTTATTCTCATTTAAAATGTCTAGCTTTTAATAAATAATTATCTGACACCCAAAGTTTTAATTTGATGTAAAATGAATAGAAGTCAATTACTGTATATAGTGACTATTAAGTCTAATATATATACCCTAGTAAGCTATAGTACTTTTTCCTTTGGGAAGGTACCATCTGTGCAGTCTGCAATTTTGTTGAAGAAAGATGTTGAATCTATTTAATATTTCTTGAAAAATAATTGATTTCTGTGCATTTATTTTTTCACACTGCATCAAATTAAGGTTGATTACGTCGATTAAGCATCATGAGGTGGAGCGTGAGGGGTGGTTCCCTATTTTTTATTTATTTATTTTTGTTGTTGCTGGGAGTTGGAACCCTATTAGTTAGGTTGCTTAATATTTACGCTAAGTACTCTTTAAAATACCAGAATAGGGAGGATGGTGTAGGTTTAAGTTTATTAGATTGATCAGTATTGCTGAACTATGAAATTTATTTTTTTTTGCATACAGGTATAACAGAATAGCTTTAGTGTAGTTGTTGTTTTAAACTTGAGTATGAACTTATACAAAATGCAGCAAGATATTAAAAAAAAAACAGTTTTGTTGATTAAAAAACACTATATCGGATTCATATCGGTATCGGCAGATATCCAAATTTATGATATCGGTATCGGTATCGGACATAAAAAAGTGGTATCGTGCCATCTCTAGTGCTGAGGTGGGGTTTTTCCTTCCTTGTGTTGTGTATTTTCCATTGTTATACTTCTCTGACCTGTCTTCCCCATGTGATGTTTGTGTAATGTATGTATGGTCGGAAGGGTAAGATGGCGCTGACCAGGCTTGCAGCCTTAACCCACCCAATCAATCAACTAACCTCTTGTCACCACTGACAGACCTCCACTCATTTTACTTACATAATCAATATGTTTAGACCGTGTTCATTTACAATCCACCATTAAACCTCATAGTTTTGTGTCAAACAGATAAATGTTAAAACACAGCTTAACTGCAATTCTTTTTTCTCCATCAGATTCCTGTCAACTCACAATCGACACAAACACAGTAAACAGAAAACTCCAACTATGTGACAACAACAGGAAGGCAACCCATCTGAAAGAGGATCAGTCATATCCTGATCATCCAGACAGATTTGAACGTTCTCAGCTGTTGTGTAACAATGGTCTGACTGGTCGTTGTTACTGGGAGGTCGAGTGGACAGGAAAGGTTGATATTGCCGTGAGTTATAAAGGAATCAGAAGGAAAGGAGACACAAACCACTCATGGCTTGGAAGGAATGATCAGTCCTGGTGCCTGGGCTGCTTTCATGATGGTTACTCTTTGTGCCACAACAACAGTGTAACATTCAGTTGTCTCCCCTCCTCATCCTCTGTCTCTAACAGAGTAGCAGTGTATTTGGATGCTGCTGCTGGCACTCTGTCCTTCTACAGAGTCTCTTCTGACAGCCTCAATCACATTCACACCTGCAACACCACATTCACTGAACCTCTTTATCCTGGGTTTGGGCTTCAGAATGACACCTCACTGACTATATGTGACTTAAAAGAAGACACAGAGAAAAACTCTGAAATCATCTAAAACAAAAATTAGCAATAAGCTGCAATAGTATTTTTATTTTTTTTTCAAAAGAGAACAACAGGCAAAGCTTTGTTACTTTAAAATCCTCCTAATACGGCTGCTCCTTTATCTTTAGCTGTGGCACCAAACAGAAATGGCAGTGTGTGAGGACTGTCCTGGTATCAATCTGTCCTTCTAGAGACTCATGGCCTGATATCCTCATCCACATTCAGGCCATGAGTATTACAATAGCTGAGCCTCATTAGTTTGGTTTTAGGTTTCAGAATGACACCTCAGTGTATTTAAAAGATTTTAAGATGTTTTAATAATTAGATATGATGGTTCAACTGTGAGTGCCAGCATATCCAATGAACAGTACTGGCTTTTTGTTATGTGCCTGCTGTGTATTATGGAGGAGCTGTTAAAATAAGAAGACAACCAACTCTTTTATTGTTTACCAATAATTTTAGAGCTGTTTTATAATGAAAGTCTGTTGTTGGTGTTTTTGAAAAATACATAAATACGTATGTTCATACATAAATTGTCAAAACATGAGCTTTGACAATTTATGCAGAAACCCAGCAGATGAAGCTCTGAAACAATCGAGCTGCACTAGTCCTCCCAAACAAATTATCCCAGAAATGTTAGAATAAGTATGCAGTCTAGTAAACTCTGCTTTTCAATGGCTGAATCATGGGTAACTGTGGCGTAACACCACAAAAAGTTAATCTCTGCATCAGAACTTCAAGTGCAATACTTTGATTTGAAAAGAAATAACTTGATGTTATTTAAGATTATGTAGGGTTTTTTGTTCTGGATGATGTTATATAGTTTCATGTTTATTTTATTTATTGAGTTTATTGTTTGAGCTGGATTAATTCCACACTCTGCAACAAGCTTACGTGCCATGCTGTCTAACCACCACCGGAGGGTAGTGTTGGCCTCCATGGGAGTGGGGTGGGCTAGGAGAGATTCAGCTTTGTATTTATTATGTCCTGTTAAATCCTAAACGACTTTTATATTACAATGATCAGATCTGAAAGAATATGAATGAATAAATAAATAAATAAATAAATAAATAATAAAATAAAAGGACTCAACTTCTTTATTACTCAGATGCAATGAGAAACACCTGTCACTGTAGGGTTGAAAAAAAAAAGTTTTAGTCTCATTTCAGGTTGGTTTGTGAAGTATGTGTGACCACAAGCTGAACACCACTAGAAGACTTTCACCTCAGTATCAGCAGGTAAATATTTGATGTGTGAGCTGTCCTAAGTCAGGCAGAAGCCAGATCAATACTAAGAGGTTGCTGCATGTCTCTTTACCTTCATGTTTTTATTTAACCACTCCTGCTTCTTCTTCCCAATATGCTGTTTGCTATATGAGCTCATAACATGTTCATTGAGACAAGCTAAAGCATTAGATTCTGAACATGACCTCTGACCTCAGCAGCAGCCTTTATTTACACAAGTGACGTATGTCTGAAAGGCTTAGGAACAAAAGTTCGCTCAGTCAACACCGACCTCTGAGTCAAAAAAGAAAAAAACTGGTGCAAACCACAAATGTAATATAATTGAGTTTAGTACCAACAGCAGGCAGAAATCATGTAATGACCAAATAACATTTTGAGGTGAACGTCAAAGGTGATTAGAGCATGACATTTTTTACACTTAGTATTTTAACTTTTCATAAATTATCTGGACAACTGTGATATATACGAATATATACGAATACTGTGAAAAATCAAAATTGTCTGAATATGTTTTCTTGTTCATGTTTTAAAATGTCTTTAAAGTTACAAACTGTAGTTTCACACAGAATATATTTCAACATGAATCCACACAGATTACAGCAAATGTTTGACAGCAGCACAAACTGCACCCTCTGATGGGACCATGGAATTACACATTCACTGTTACTGCAAACTGAACATCCAGCCATTTTCTGAACTGATTGACATATTGAGGTTCTGAGAAGGGTTGGAGACTGTCCCTGTTGGTGAGAGATGTGACCTTCAACTGATCTCCAGTCACCAATCATCAGACGTTGAAAACCGATTGATGGTGGTCCTTTCTTGATGTCCTGCTATGGTTGAAAAATTGACTTACTGGAAGGCAAAGAGCTAAGGGCCGTTTCCACACCCAAATGAAAGTCTGATGTCAAAATGAGTATTTATTTGAAATGTAACATCTAGTTTCTGGAGTGTTGCTTACTGAGCACATGGCCAAAACAAAAACCCATTGTAGCCCTAACACATTGGTGCATATTAACTGTGGGTGGTGATGCCTAACTCCATACTTGTGTTTTAGAGAAAACCAAAACAGGTCTGTGAAGTAGAAATTTGGGGAACATCTTTGTATTGCGTAGGGTTCGGGTTTGTGTCATCACCGATAATGAACTTGACCTAGCTTTTAACAAACTCTTATTATTTTAAATGTTGAATCATTTTTGTGTATGATGGGTGTACAAGGAGGACCCAACACACTCAATGGTTGACTCACTGATTTGCACTTTATTGTCAGTTGCACACACAAAGACAATCTCCCCTCAGCCCAGATGTCCGTCTCCTCCTTCTCCGCTCGTCTCTTCCTCCACTATGAAAAGAAATGGAGACTGTCATCAGTCATAACGCCACCACCTGTGGCCTCACCTGCCTCCCAGCACCGCCCCCTTGAGCTCACTGCACCACTCCTCTCCTGCAACTGATCCAGGGACCACACCTCCACCACACTGGGTTTGGACAGAACAATGACTGACTTTAGGAACCCAAGACTGTGATAACATATGTCGTCACAAAAAAATGTTTTTTTCTGAACGGTATATTTTTGATACATTTTCATGTTTTTAGGGTGCTGAATCCAAAAATGAGCTCTATTTTCCTCCATCAAGTACATTTTTTTTTTTTGCAAAACATTAGGACTTTACATTAAAAAAGCGAAAACAGCAATGAAAAAAATTTCCCAAGGAACAAAATAAACCTGTTGGGACATCATCCACTGAGCTCCTCACGCCAAACCCACCCCACCTCCCCCTCCTACTGACCCCCCTTAATTCCTCACATTTCAATTTAAAAAGGTAAATTGGATGCTTAATTAAACCAAAAACTTGAGTTCTGCAAGAAAAACTGACAAAATGGAATTATTAAAATATTTTTCCTGGTTTAAGTGACTAAAGATCTACAAGAAAAAAAAATGTACCAAAGATGGTATTTTTAAGACTTTTTAAGATTTTTTTAGGGACTTGTTACACTTGTTAATTGTGACTTGTATGTTCATATGTTTTTGTTTTTTTTACCAAACAATAATTCAGTATCAACAAAACTGATCTTGGGTTGTGTTAAACTGCAGCAGTATTAACTCACAGTAGGACTCGAGTTGTTGAGAAAAAGTAAACATGTAGGTTTAAACATAACCGACTCATCAGTCTGGCTCAAACTTTGACCCTCTGGTCAATAATCCCCCCCTCCAGAGGACGGACAGAGAGACATAGACGGGCAAACAAAGAAGGACACACTGAGTACTGCTGGATCTGGTTCTGAGGTTCTGCTTACAGGTCTGAATCATAATGGAACCAACATCAAAACCTGCTGCTGTTCTGCTGCTGTTTCTCCTGCACAGCTGTGTGGCAAACCATGGTAATGAACTCCTTTCTTCTTCAATGTGTGAACTGGTGTTTTTAGTGCTCATATTACTGGTACTAAATGTAGGATCATCATATGACTAATCTAGATCAAAATTGTACTTTGGTTTGAATATATGTCGATTTAAGTCTTTTATGAAAGTTCATTAGAAGACAGAAAGTAACCCTCAGTCTGTGTATCTGTACATTTGATTGTTTAACCAAATATCACTTTTTTTTCTTCTTCTCTTGTCTTGAATTTGATGAACACTAAACCAAATGAACCATTTTAAATCTGGTCTGGAAGTATAATTACAAAGACTGTAAAAACAGTCTTTGTAATTAGTACTACTATCACTTCTACAATTACCCGATAGAAATACGTGTATAATATGATTGAAATCAATTCTCAAGTATGTAAATTACTGACCTTTACTTAAGATATGTTTTCAGTCCATTACTTTTATTTTTGGAGTACGTAGTTAATACAGTATTTTTATATGCCATGCATTTTGCCAAAGGGGGGAGGTGGGTGAAACACAATCACCTGGAAGAGGCAGACCCTGTAAATTATTTATAAAGCATATTGTGTCATTTGACAAAATCTTCCTCATTATTAGACAGAAGATAAATGGAAGAATGGAAAAATTTTATACAAATCCAATCCCAAAAAGTTGGAACATTGTGTAAATTAAAACATTAAAACTATATCTCATGTTGAATTTGATAGCAGCAGCACATCTGAAAGGACTGTGTTTACCACTGTCTAGCGTCTCCTGTCCTTTATAAACGGTCTGTAAACGTCATGGATGAGGAGAGCAGCTGATGTAATTTTGGAAGAGGTACTTTGTCCCATTTTTGTCTGATAGAGGATTCTAGCTGCTCAACAGTCCCAGGTCATCTTGCATTTGATCATTTGTGTGACTACAGAACAGATTTTAAATTAAACTGGAGGCTGAGTGTTGGTGATGCTGGAAGGGTTTAACTGATTTTCTATCTTTGTTGTAGTTTTTCTCAGTGGCCACCTCGCCTCACAGGTTTTGGTCCGGAACAGACGAGCCAACCAGATGTTTGAGGAGCTGAAAGCAGGTGACCAAACAGCAGCTTTTCTCCTCATTATTACATCCACTATGGTTTGACATCTTGACCATTCGTATCATTCTGTGTCTACTGAAATCATAAAATTCCTTGATTCAAATAAATGTTTGTACAGGGAGCAGGTTCATTTCTCTCCCTTTTCGTATCTACTTTAGATTCAATTGTAATCACGTACTTTAGCATGTGCTGCAGGTTTGGAACAATATTAGCTTTGAGTCTTTGTTGACTGGAGGTGGGCAGAGACTGCTAAATGTTAGCATTAATTCTGGAAAGTAAATCAAAAAGAAACAAAAAGAGCCAAACAG